ACATTCCTCCCAACAGCCGGTGAGATCCCACAGGGTGGGCCTCCTTCAGATGCCATCAGCCAGACAATGCCGGCTGGCGGCTCCCCGGAGAAGCTTCTCTGTGGCTGCTCCGACCCTTTGGAACGAGCTACCCCCAGAAAACCGGACTTTGCCCACTCTCATGGCCTTAAGAAAAACTGTTAAAACCTGGCTATTCCGGCAGGCCTGGGGCTGTTTACCTCATTGTTGAGGTCCAGCCCCAATCGTAACGAATGTATGCGTGTTGATTTTAACCTGTTTTTATTTTCATTTTTTATTATTATTATTTTTTTCTTTCGTTGTAAGCTGCCCGGAGTCCTCTGGGATTGGGCGGCCTATAAATCGATTAAATAAACAAACAAACAAACTAATAACTTCACTATAGAAATAGAACTGACTTTAATAATGGTTAAAAAAATTAAAATTTAGAAGAAAGGGTAAAATAAAAAATTATTAGAACATTTTGCTATTCTCATCAAATAATTATCCACAATGCTCTAAAAAAGATTTGGTTGAAACATAAAATGAGTTTCTAGTGTTCAGTTTTCACTAATTTTCATGTTATTTTTTTAATTACCATGAAAATATAAGCTAGAGGTTCTGCATTTTTAAAGCACTACTAGGAGGAAACAAACTATAATAATTTAAATTCCCAGCTGACAGTTACTCTAACTCCAAATTTGGTAACATGCTATTTTAATCTACGTGGGTCAACACTGGCATGAGATTAAACCCCAAAAAATTAACATTTCAGTTCAAGGGATATAGACTGAAATTGCTGATATAACTTTCTCTAGTGCAAAATTTCAAAAGAATAGTATCAACATATTGAAAACTCAAATCGGTGAGATTCTTAGAAAGGATTATTACAGAATGTTGTCCTCTAACTACTGCAAATTATCATAAAAATACAGTAACAATTTTTTTAATTGCCTGATTGCTCTCACAAATTTGCAAAATGTAAGGTTCAATGTTGAAATCTGCACTACCTTTTCCAGAATCCCCAAGTACTTATGTACAATATTGTAATCCTATCTAACTTTTCATTCCTCTCCCAGAGGTTATCTGTATGTTCAATCCATATTAAGCTATGTGGGGAGACTATTTCCCATTCTATATGTAAACTCCTTCAAATCCCAGAAATGAATGAATCTATCAATTCTAATATTTGTCCTGCATTTTACAGCATTTTGTTTTATCTTGCTGTCATATCAGTTTATTTTTCTTATTTTATATTCTTACTAGCATTTGTGAATATTAACATTTTATACAGGCTACATTACAAGGTTATATTTATACATTTGGAATACAAGAAAAAAAAACAGAAGTCAGACTTTTTACACAGGTGTCATTTTTTGTTATCATCTTACTCCCAGGATTTCCAAAGATTCACATATAGATTCACCAACTTCATTCTCAAAGTCCTATCCTCTTTGTAATTTTTCTTGTCATTTATTATCTGAATAAATACTACATAGCAATAATGCTGCTTCTAAAAATAAACACATTAGGCTACAAGTGTACTCAACAGTTCTCAGTCCACAGCTACAATCCTCACATCTTTCTATTTAATCAATCTTAATATCAAGCTTGAGCATCAATCTTAAATGGTTATGAATACAACTTCAAAAACTTTCAATTTCTCTTTCCCTGAAAAAATATAGTACGTATTACTAACATATGAAGAAATTAAAAAAGTAAATTGTACACAGATTAGATAATCAGAAATCCAGTACAGTGTGTGTAAATATATATATATATATACTTACATTTGGTTAAAAAGGTGTCAATGTTTTTATTTTTCCTCAAAGCAGGAAAATCCAAATCGTATACCAAGGCATCTAATCCATCCTGAAGAACAAAATAAATATTTAAAAAAAAACACTAATGAGTATCCCAAAAAACAGTATTAGTTTTTTTGTATTACATCTCAAACATAAATGTGCTTATTTAATCATGCTCTAAACTAAATATTTTAACATACCGTATTTTTCAGAGTATAAGACGCACCTTTTTCCCTCAAAAGAGAGGGTGAAAATCTGGGTGTGTCTTATACACTGAATACAGCAATTTTTTGCCTCCTGAAACCCTGCCCCCTTTGCAAAAATGGCCGTGCATAGCCTTTAGGGAGCTTCCAGAGTGACTCTGGGGGCTGGAGAAGGCAGAAATGGGTGAAAACAGGTCATTTTTGCTTGTTTTTGCCCACCCCACCCCCAGCACCCAGGAGCACTCTACAAGCCTCCTAAAGACTATGCATGCTCTTTTTTCTGACAAAAAATACCAGGGCCTGTTTTCACCAAAAAACGGGACATTTTGGGGAGGTCTGCAGAGTGCAAAAACTTTTTTTTTTAAATTTGCCTCTTCAAAATCTTGGTGGGTCTTATACTCCGAAAAATACAGTAGTTTTAGTCTAAATTCTTACATGTTTTAGATGTAAGAATTCATATTAAAACCTATATGTATGCATAGAAAAATGTTTTAATCCCTAGCACTCATTCATTTTAATAGGGAAACATTAAAAATTATAACCAACTAGAAGTTAAATGACTCATGAAATAAAAAATCTTGGTAATTCTAAAGAAAATGATATGAGGACCCAAAGCAATTTCCAAGGAAGTATATTTTATAGTTTACCAAGTGCAGCCCTCTCCTGTGAGTACTTATTAACAGAACTCTAAAAATAGGAACATCTTAAGAATCACTTCTTCCACAAGACATAATGCTTACACAAATTTATAAAAGGATCATGCCAATAGTGCAATAAAACATATTCTAATATTAATTTGGACATGAGCATCAACAAAAAAGTCATTACTTCAAGGAGGAGCATTATTTATTATTTTGACTGATTTTATTTTGAACAATTTCAGAAAAATCTAAGGCTGTCAACCTTGAGTTGGTGAGAATCAAACTGCCGCTCCTTAAGTGAAGCCTCATGTAAAATATTGCAACAGATCAATTAGGCTATTAACTATGGTATGAGTAGTAATAGGTCTCTCATGCTATTATGGCATATTCTACTTGTTTGGGAATCATCACATATGGCATACTAAACAATATTTCTCTTAATGCCATCGATTCAAAATCTAGACATGAACAAAGGTAACTTAAAATAAGAAAAGAAATAATAAGATAAGAAAAATCAAATACAAGAATGTTTTCTAAGATAAATAGCTTTATGAAATAGATATAAACATCACAAATACAATAAAAATAACTTATAAAATGTTTTGTTCTTAATAACAAAAGTGAAATTTTAGTAAAACTGAATTTAATTATTTCAATTCAGCTTTTTGATGTTTTGTGTTCTCTCTCTCTCTCTCTCTCTCTCTCTCTCACACACACACACACACACACACACACACACACACACACTGGTAAAACTTGGAAGGGCGCAAAAACAGTTATACTCTTTTGGAAGACTGGCTCTATTCCAAGCAAAAATGTCCTTTCATCTTTTCCTTTTTTGGGCAGACTAGATTTTGTAAAACATGCAGAGATAGCTTCTGATCCATTATTTCACTTAAATATAACCAGTTGTTTTCTTCCAAACTGTTTTAAGAATAAATGTGCCCTTTGTATATTTGTTTAATGTTTAAAAACCATGCATCAGAAAGTACATTTTCAGTTTAGTGGTTGCTCAAATAACAATTACCTATCTATTGAAACAGTATTCTTGGTTTGATTAAGCATTAGGTCATAATTATTCTGATACAAACAGGTTTCAGAAAGAAGCAGAGCTTAAGCCTCAGAAGTACTGGTGCCAAAAGCTGATTTTCTGTAAGAGACCATCATACCATCATACAAAGAACACTCTTTCTAATTTATAATTGTCAGTAGTATTTCTAGTTTCTGAGTAGTTTGCCAATCTCATTTTTCACTGTAACTTTCTGATATTCTTCCTAATGCTTTATTGTATTCAACTGACAAACTACATTTCACGTCTCTGGTCTCTGTGTTTACCACAATCAAACTAAATATATAATTTATTAATACTAATATGACCAGAAGTTTGCAACCATAACTTTTTAAAAGTTGAGAATGAAAGAATTCCTTGAGAATTTGTGAAGAGTTAATCTAATTTTGCCTCTAATTTCTCTCACAGAAGTAAATATGAATGAATCTCCTAGAACAGAAATAAAGAATACCATATGGAGCTCCACTACTGTCTTCCTTGGAATTTCTATTATTTTCTGAAACTTGATTAAATATTCAGAGAATGTGATTTCAATGTCTTAATTTGATATAGAAATTAATATTCTTAGAATAGCTAACTTGTTCACTAAAGTTATTCAATAAAGACTTCCCAGGGGGAAGCAATCCCCTTTTTACTTTGAAACCTCCAACAGCAAAAAATGCTGAAGAAAATATATCTACTGTGTATACTATTTTAACACAATTCTACTTAATTAACTGCAGTCACTCTGGACTCTGAACATAATTTAAGAAATAACATGAGGTAAGCAATTGGGTGCTGACTCTTTCTTCTGATGCAAATTCAGCTGTACTCCCCCCCCCCATGAAAAAAGTGGTAAACTCTATTGCTACTGCCTGTTATAGGAAGAAGGTTTGAAATGAGCAATGAAGAGGAAAAATTGAGAGCAAGGCAGGGAAATGAAGATTATGTAATAAAATGGGAGAAAGCAAAGAAATCTACTGAAGTGGAATCAAGAAGGTAAATTAAACAGCAGAAGGCTCACCAAACAGATTACAGTTAGCAAAGAGAATTAAGAGTGGAGCAATATGAAAGAATTTTCCATTGATTTTGTTTGTCTGAAGCTTCTGGAAAAGTCATACACACACACACAAGCACACACGTGTTGCAATATTTTTGGGGAGGGCTTATTTTAGCACAGGTGCTCAAAAGCTTGATTGAGCTTATTATCCAGGGAGCTCTTTTGGGGGAAACATGATATATATAAAATGCCTACACAAGATATTGTATTTTTCAGATATAAGACGCACCTTCCCCCTCCCCCAAATGAGCGTGGAAATGTTGGTGCATCTTATACACCAAATACAGCCATTTTTGGCCTCCTGAAGCCCCGCCCCCGCATTTGATTTTTGCGAAAAATGGGCCTCTTTTTGCAAAAACTGAGCGTTTTTTGCCTTCCCTCAGCCCCCAGCAGCACACTGTAGGCTTCAGCAACTGGGGGCGTTTTTGCCTTGCCCCAGCCCTGCTAAAGCCTGCAGAGTGCTTCTGGGGGCTGAGGGAAGACAAAAACTTTTTTTTCTTACTTACCTCTTCGAAATCTTGGTGTGTCTTATACACCGGTGTGTCTTATAGTCCGAAAAATACAGTACCCCTTTCTGAGCTGTTTTTCTCTGCACCACAATGCTTCTTTAAAAAGCATAACTACAGGTTAACAAACCTAGTCTGTAACTTTGATTGATTAGAACCCTCTAGTTGCTGCTATGTAATACTGACAAGATTCTAATAACACTAAAGACTTTGGTTTGTTTTTTAAGCAACTTGCAACAATGCACATTCCTTTTAAAGTGTATACCCCGTGTGTGCCTGCTTATTCTCTTGTCATCCTTTTTCTCCAGTGAGTGTAAATACAAACATTTTCTTCTTGTTGTTCATATGCAAAATAATTTTAACTTTAAAAATTAAATTAGTTTGAATTAATTTAAATTATTTTAAAATTGATCTTATAGTAACAGTTATTCGTACTTTAGTCCTGGAAATTGAAAGTATCTTTATATAACACCTTGTGATTCAAAGACTTCATTGACTGAATTTTCTTTTGTAGTTTTATATTTCACTGTCCTTCATTCTATTATTATCACTCTGACATTTTGATTTGAAATAATGTTGCTTGGTAACAAGTAAAAACATTGTGTGCCGTAAAATTATAACTAGAACTTTTTCTTTGGACTAATGAACTTTAAATGAATGTTAAAATTAAGAACACACAAAAATGGCAACAGTATTATGTATTTATGAATATTGTGCCAATTAAATATATGCACATAAAGTTCTACATAGGTTTGGAGATTTACAAGTAGTACAATAAATATACCATTTAATTTCAGCATTCAGTTTTATTGGTACATAATTGAATAATCTGGGCGTTAATATCATTTACAGCTTTATACTTTTAAGATTATACTAAAATATATCAGAATAGAAATATAGCTAGTAGATGAGAAAAATTACTCTTAAGTAAATGCCATGTGATTTGTGTAATTTGTTTCATTGAAAATATGCAGGAATGATCTTGAAGAAATATGGCATATATTTGTTCTTTTTATCAAAGACTATTTGACAGAATTGTACTGCTTTACTCGGTAATCTTTAGTTGAAGACAATAGATATATTGTTTTAGAGGGATATAACTGACATTTGGAATTTTGATAAGATATCATAGGCACAGTCACAAAATGGTTGCTTTGATGTTTGTGACCAGTCATAATAACCATCTCACAGAAACTGGTAACACTAGAATACAAGTATTCTGCCCCTGAATTTGAATGTGAGAGAAAGGCAAAACTGCTAAATAAGAAACTATACTTTTGAATGAAAGTTTCAGACTCATTCAGGATCATTCCTCCTAAAGTTTGTTCTCTTACCCACACAGGCAGCACACAACTCAGCTCAGTCATTCATTTTTCTTTTAAGATTCCCTCTCCATTCACCCCAAACAAGATAGCCATTATTAGGAAAATGGCAGTTGGTCTTACCTGAACTGCTATTTTCGGGGCTGGGACAGGAGGCTCCAGTGGATGGTATTAACACGTCCAATTGGCCATGAGACTGGGATGAAGCTGAAGCCACGCCTCTGTGCTCCACCCTTTATGTCCAGTTTCATCAAAGCAAGCTCCCCCAAGACCTGAAAACAAGGCAC